CACAAATTTTGTTGGTGCGAAGAAGGAACTGAGGCAAGCATTGGCCGCTTTAAATCACTCTAAAATTGAAAGGACTTTTGTGCAGGAAGGAATGAGATGGAGTTTTAACACCCCAGCTGCATCTCACCAAGGTGGCGTTTGGGAGCGTCTGATTCGCTCTGTGCGCAGTGTACTTACCTCTGTTGTTGGACATCAACTGCTGGACGAGGAAGGTCTGCAAACGCTGTTTTGCGAGGTGGAAGCGATACTCAATGACCGGCCAATAACTAAGGCTTCAGAAGATCCCAATGATTTAGAAGCGCTTACTCCAAATCACATTCTCCTGTTAAAAGGCAAGCCCATTCTGCCATTAGGTCTGTTCGAGAAATCTGATCTGTACATTAAGAGGAGATGGAGGCAAGTGCAGTACGTTGCGGAACTTTTCTGGAAAAGGTGGACAGCAGAGTATTTGCTTGTAATGCAAGAAAGGCAAAAATGGACGAAGCAAAAGAGAAACTTTATTCCAGGAGATATTGTCGTAATCGCTGATGCCACAGCTCCAAGAGGCTCATGGATGATGGGCAGAGTTCTAAGCACCACAGCTGACTCTAGAGGACTGGTTCGCTCTGTGAAGGTCCAAACGAAGATCAGCATCCTGGACAGACCAATAACCAAGCTCTGTCTTCTCTTGGAGGCTAATAATTGACTAGACGACTCATTCTTTCTCCTATCTCTGTCTTCCATCTGTTTGTTTCTTTCAGATATGGAGAATCTGAAGATGTGAAGATTCCAGTTTAATGTTTAAGCTACAATTAGAAAATAGCTCCTTTGTGTTAAAGCTAAGGTTAATTGTGGGTAAAGTACCGTTACAATTAGGGGCTGGGTTGTTGGAGCTATATTCTTATTTTTGTTTATTTTGGGTTTGAGTTCATTTATAGCCCAATTTATTTCTTTTCTTTTCTTGTTAAAGTTAATTTGGTTTATTTTGTATTTATGCTTTACTTGCATTGTCGTTTGTTGGTCACATGGTGTTATGTTCATTTGCATAAGTAGGTCAAGGTGAGAGGTGCCGCAGGCACAAGGGCATATGGTTTTTAACAGCGTGAGAGAGGCAGCAGAAATGTCTGTAAGCTTGCTTATGTGTGTGAATAAACCTCCTCAAACTCAGTCTTGTTATGGACATTACCTTGCTTTGGTACCTCTGAACCTGCGTAAAGCCTAACCATGACGTAGCCTCAAGTGGCCATTTGAGAAGTTTGTTATTATTTGTTTTTGTTTAAGTTTATGGACAAATAGCCACTACAGTAATATTGCGAAAATCAGGAACATCCTGTCTAAAAATGATGCAGAAAAACTAGTCCATGCATTTGTTACTTCTAGGCTGGATTACTGCAATTCCTTATTATCAGGCTGCTCGAAAAAGTCCATTAAGACTCTTCAGCTGATCCAGAATGCTGCAGCACGTGTTCTGACAGGAACCAGGAAAAGAGATCACATTTCTCCTGTTTTAGCTTCTCTGCATTGGCTTCCAGTAAAATCCAGAATAGAATTTAAAATCATTCTTCTTACCTACAAAGCTCTTAATGGTCAGGCACCATCTTATCTTAAAGAGCTCATAGTACCTTACTACCCCACCAGAGCACTGCGCTCCCAGAATGCAGGGTTACTTGTGGTTCCTAGAGTCTCCAAAAGTAGACTAGGAGCCAGAGCGTTCAGCTATCAAGCTCCTCTCCTGTGGAACCAGGTTCCAGTTTGGGTTCAGGAGGCAGACACCATCTCCACATTTAAGAGTAGGCTTAAGACTTTCCTCTTTGATAAAGCTTATAGTTAGGGCTGGCTCAGGTAGTCCTGAACCATCCCTTAGTTATGCTGCCATAGGCCTAGACTGCCGGGGGATTTCCCATGATGCACTGAGCTCCTCTCTCCTCTACTTTCTCTCCCTCTGTATGCAACCTCATCCCATTATTGCATGTTACTAACACAACTTCTCCCCTTTCTGGTAGTCTTGTGCTTTCTCGTCTCTCTCCTCTCTCCTATCACTTCCTGCAGGTTTTCTGGCTCTGGAGCTGTGGAGTCTGGAGCTGTGGCTGCGGGTCACCTGCTGCCCCCGTGTTCCTGCTCGACACCCTCTGCTGCAACGACTATTTTTGCTAGTCTTATTGTTATTATTGTTATTATAATCATTAACATTACGATGGTTACCATTAACACTATTATAAATATCTGTACCATTTTTCATTTAGTCTATAGCAACATTACCTTCACTGTGTGTACCTCTGTGTGTATATTGTGTAGGCTGCCTCCCTCCCCTCTCTCTCTCCTTACATCTCTCTCTCCTTACATCTCTCTCTCTCTCTCCTTACATCTCTCTCTCTCTCTCCTTACATCTCTCTCTCTCTCTCTCACCCCAACCGGTCGAGGCAGATGGCCGCCCACCCTGAGCCATGGTTCTGCTCGAGGTTTCTGCCTCTTAAAAGGAAGTTTTTCCTTGCCTCTGTCGCCTAGTGCTGCTCTTGGTGGGAACTGTTGGGCTTCTGTAAATATCATCACAGAGTACGGTCTAGACCTGCTCTTTTATGAAAAGCGCTGTGAGATAACTGTTGTTGTGATTTGGCGCTATATAAATAAAACTGAATTGAATTGAATTGAATTGAATAATAAAGAAGGTTAATTTACGGTTTGTTTACTTTTCTTCACACATTTACACCAATAGACCCTCACTGCATTTGTCTGCTTGAAGTGCTGGCTGCATTAGTTGCTTGTTAGGGGCTGGTGACATCAGAGGGTGAAGTCAGTAGTCAAACCCCAACTTTTTGGTACATAAAACAGATTTTTTTGGTGATTGGTCTGTGTTTCAAAGATGGACAAAAGTTTGCTTTACTGCACCATTCTGTCCAAATTTGGTGACATCATCAATTCCAGAGATACAGGTGATAAAGCAGAATCAAAATTTTGACTATTTTAGGTTTTGGGGAGGATCCAAACATCAACCACAAAAAACCCCAACCAATTTTACAGTAAAATATTTTTAAACAACCATCCATTTCAAACTAGACATATTAAAATAAAAAGGTTGTGGTTTCTCAGCTAGGGGTATCTCAAAAACTAAAGCCTTTTGGGTGATTTGTTGCTCTACTAATATATTTTTTTCCTCTCAGAGCTGGACAACTGCACAGCATCACTCACTAAAGAGTTCTGCTGCTGTTTGCCTGAGAAACATTTCTCTACGTGGACTGTTACTAAGATTATTTGATTAAAGCAAGTACCTAAACTTAAACATCTGATGACTTTCAGTTATTTCTAATATCTGACAACAGCTAAAAGCTCAGTAGCCTATGGAATGTGCAGCAGTAAATCCCAACAGCATACAGTCTACTAAATAACAATTGAGCAATTACAATAACAAATACAGTGCCATTAAACATTTCAGCACTATAACATCCCTGTTGTGGTGGCAGCCCGGCTGTTAGTGTCCTGTTTATTTCTCCTTTTTTCTTGTGATTCTGTTTTTCCATTGTGTTTTGGCCTGCCTGTTTGTGTCTCCCCCTCTCTCTGCTCCTGAGCCCAGCTGACAGTCCGCACCTGCAACTCATCAGCCACCTCCTCTGCCTGTCACACCTGCCAGTTATAAGTGGGGTCCAAGCTTCCCGTCCTTTGCTTCCCACGGTATTTGAGTTTCGATTATAGCACCACCTATAAGCTGAACTGCAAATTTTTCAGGTATCATCACGGAACATATGACACAAATTTGGTATCAATCGGACTTGTGGTTATGGAAATATAAAATGAATGTTAAGTCAATGGGAATTTTTGTACATCTTTGATGTGCAATAACAGCAGCGCCACCTATGGGCATATTAGGGTCAGCTTTGGTGACTGGAGTCAGGAGACTGTCCTGAACAACTCACCTCAGATTTCATGTCAATGTGACTTGTGGTTATAAAGGAACAAATATTTTGTGTTAAATAGCGTTTCCTAAGAGGTAATTGCACCAAATTTTGCACAGCCCCTCAGGGGGGTATGCCACATAAGATCCTGGTGTCGATCTGCCATTCCAAACCTAAGATATGACACAACTTCCTGTTTTTGCATTTTGCGCAAACATTTGTTAGCTTATAATTCCAACAATTTTTCGCATGTCAATCTGGGAGCCCAAACTTTTATCAGCTTGGTCCAGAGATCGTCTGTGCCAAGTTTGGTGTTGATCGGACTGGCCGCTTCAGAGGAGTTAATTAAATTTGGTTTTTCAGTTTTCACAATTTTGTGAAAAAAATTCAAGTGGGCATTGCCTATACCACACGATCCAGGTCGATCCCCCACATGGATATAAGGTTTGTGATATGCACCTTCGTATGCATATGCGGGAGTTACAAAGCCAAATGTGTTGACCTTGCTTTTAGCGCCCCCTAGAGGTAGAACTGTGCGATTTTTTGTGCCTGAGGTCATTGCGGTGACCTGGACCTATCTTATGATTTTCGCGTCTGTACCGTTTACCGTCTAGGCCGCAGTATGAGTTTTCTTTAGGGAAGAAAAGAAAAGAAAAAAAACCCAGAACGATTACAATAGGGTTCCCAGCTCCGCCGGTGCTCGCGGGTTCGAGCCCCACTCGGGCTTGGACCCTTAATGAATTACTTTCTTATTTTATTGTGATTTTATTTTGATCATTCTTCAAGTTTCCAGTTTTGATTAGGGCACCGTAAAGGCTAGTTGCACACTGTGGAACAATATATTAAAACATCATTCCCATTGACTAATTAACATAAAGCCATCACAGAGAGAAATGCAGTCACTGTAATTACATGTAATCCTGAAAATCCAGCGGTGCTGCAGGCCACCTGGACAGACTGAGCCAACACACAGTCACAGTAAACAACAGCAAAGCACTGCAGGCTGCATGCCCACCTGAGCTTAGCCTACATGGCCTTAGTGTAGAGAAACCTCCAGCAATACAACGACGTCCAAGCTCAATCTATACAAACACGTTAGCAGAATCATTCCACCGACGTGTTGTTGTTTCATACCTCGCTGAGGAAGGAGGGAGGGCACTCCGTACTGATGTGTGCGCAGCACGACGCCTTCTTATCCGCTCTTACTGAGACGATCCAAATGATTCAGATTTTCTGTTCGGTGATGAAGATGAAGCTCCAGGCATCTGAACGCAGAACAGCAGCTGATGGATGTTTCTACAGGGCCCGACGGGCAGCAGGCACCAGGCGGAGCGTCAGACCGCGGCAGGCCGGACGGTGGACCCAGCAGCAGAGTGTAAACCAGTGTAAAACGGATCAGGTGTCTCTGTTAAATCCCAACACCCAGCTGTTCGCCCACTCCCCGCTTTCTCCCAGCGCATCCTCTCATGAGCCCACGCTGATCCTGAGGACCACAGTCAAGCGCGGGTTCCTCCGCAGCAACAGGAGAAAGACTTCCGCCTCCAATTATTCACAATAAAAGCCGCATCACATCCAACGTCAACCCGCACTGCAGATGTGCAAAGTCGGACATATTTTAACACTCTGACAAAATACATTAAAACACACATAAAATATATATCGTTATAGCCTATTTACTTTGTATTAAGCTTCTCTATAGCTACTGTAGAGTGTGCCATGTGATTTATGTTAGATACAGACTGGCCTCCCTGCCCACTGATGACACAAGTCAAATTCTTCCCTAAAACTGTGTAGGCACTGTTTTGTTTTTTGTTTTTTTTCAGGATGTAGATTTTTAAATCAGATGTCAAAGTAGAAAGCACAGCATCAAAGACTACCCTAAACTTTCTAGCCTCTAGTGCAAACCCAGGAAGCCTAGAGCCTGCTTTAGAGCAACACTAAGGAATTCACCCAAACAGGATTTATGTTTCAGACTTCCTGGAGGAGGAGTTTGTGCCTGAACATCCACCATAGTTCCTTTATGCCTCTCTTAACAGATATTTTGTTGTTATGGAAATGTGAGCAATCGTTCTTGACCTCATGTCAAAATAATTTCAACTCAATGAGACAGCCCCAAAAAGCTAATAAGTGGGCCTTGAGTTCTACACAGGACCCCAAGTGTTCAATATTAGTAATATAAATAAATAAGACCTTAATAGACAAACAAACATCAAATGAAATTCCACAGTCAGTCTTTTCTTATTTCACAATTCCATTTCTCCCAATGCCACTTTTCATGTCAATCAAGATCCAGGGTAGTTTATTGGTTGTTTGCCCATCCACACCAAAGAAAGAAATTCTGCTGTGAAAGGGTACAGCTAGTAGGCCTACCACAAAAACTGCTAGAACAAAACTGATACGCATAACATTTCATAACAATGAGCTTAGCCATTAGAAGATCTGTCTGACTCTGACTGGACCACCAACTTTATTTTTTTATGTTCAGCTTCAGCCTCCTTTTCCTCTGCCTCCTTTTTGTTTTTTTGTTGGCTTGGCGGTAAGGTTAAATGTCGCCACATTACGCTGCTAGCTAACGTTAGCCAGCTTTCACTCTGCCTTCTTTCACGGGGGTATTGAGCTGATCTGCCGGCTCGCTGCACTGTATGAAAGGTACGGAGCCGGAAAGGGGGGTCCAACTTGATCCACCTCTGAGCCGGGAAAGTTGGTGACAGCCACAGCCGGCATGCCTGGGTTGTGTTAACGTTACACTTAACAGTCTTTTAACACACCGCTGGTTCCGGTAATGTGAAAACACACATGGTTGCGAGATAATGCTGCAAACTTTTGTTTAGTATGAATAATTCTTTCCGCGCTGATCTCCATATGAAAGCGGCTACATCTCACTCTCCCCTCTTTACCTCCTGACCCCTGTACCTTGTCCCCTAACGGCTACCCCCTTACAAATCTACACCAATCAAACACAAGTACCATGAAATGAACAGAACCATCCACCAATGAACCTCCCTCATCCGTGTGTTACACAATTTTAGATCCCTTGGTATATCGGGGAACAATTTAAGTGCGACACACAACAAACATTGTCAGTCTGCTGCTAATTACTGTTAAATAGATATCCTTCTATGCTTCCAACATTTAGCCACCAAATGGAAAATCCACCTGCATTTGGGTGGATTTTCCATCCCTGATGGTAAACGGACTGTAGGCCTTTCTAGTCTTCCCACCAGTTAAAGTGGTTTACATGTCACATTCACCCATTCACACATGTTCATAGCTGCCATGCACAGTGGCAACTGCTCATCAGAATGGAATAACACACTCTCACACCAATGGAGCACCTTTGATAGCAATTTGGCAATGAGTTTGACATGCAGACTGGAGGAGCCGGGGAATGAACCACTGACCTGACTAGTTCTCCCTCTTGAACAACAGCCGCCCCTATATAGATATAAGCCGCTTTTCGACCAAAATTACCGGGGACTTTTAAGTCTCCAGATCTCTTTTTGAAGAAAAGGAAAGTACTACCCCCCACAGGGACTTTTTTTGGGGTAAAATGAAGACCCCAGAACTACATTTAGACCCTGGTCCCTCCGGTGGAAACGCAGTGAGTTCCTCCAAAGGTTCCTAGTTCTGGGGTATAATTCCTTTGGTCGAAATGCAGCTATATACTTCTGTTGGGATCACATTGACCTCATGGAGCTGAGGTTGTTCATTTGTGATCTTGGCTGAACTTTTGTCAAGTGTCAACTTTTGTCACTGAACTCACTTTCTCAGAAAAGAAAGTCACACCAATGCGAAAACAGCTTTGATTGGTCAATGATATATCACCTACATCACCTCATTGATAAAAACAGCAGCACAAGCTCTGTTCAGGGTAGGCTGCAGCGCATCATTCGCTCCACAGAGAAGGTGATTGGCTGCAATCTTCCTTCTCTTCTGGACCTGTACGCCTCCAGGACTCTGAGGCGTGCAGGAAAGATTGCAGCTGACTCCTCCCACCCCGGAGACAAACTGTTTCAGACTCTCCCCTCTGGCAGGAGGCTGCGGTCCATCAGGACCAAAACCTCTCGCCACAAAAACAGTTTCTTCCCGTCTGCAGCTAGCCTCATAAACAAGGCCCGGGTCCCCCACTGACACTCCCCCCTTTCAAATAATACAAATGTCTCTGCACATGTAAATACTGCTTCATCTCGTGTCGGGCTCAGACCTGGCACGTCGCACATATTTGCTGTTGATTGTTGATCTTTGTAGTTGTATATTTTTATGTTGTCTGCAACGTTGTTCTTCCATTCCATATTTATATATATTTCTACATTTATTTATGTTGACTGTATGTTTGTCTACGTGTAGCACCTTATCACCACAGCAAATTCCTCGTATGTGTAAAACACTACTTGGCAATAAAGCTCCTTCTGAATCTGATTCGCTCTCTTTCCACCTTCACTCCACTCTGTACCTTCCCTTCGGAAAAGACGTTTAGAGATTGAACTCGCCCCAGGCTTTATGGAGAGTTTCAAAGCTTATCTCTAACATTAACTGATCATTGTTAACGTGAGATTATGTAACTACATTCCTCAGTCACAGCAACACCTTTTGTCCTTTGTTTGACCACATGTTCTCACACTCACCCCACTGTCCTTACCAGGGACACAGCTCTGTATGTTCTCTTTGTTTTAGTTTAATGCATTTAGTTAGTTTCATCTTGTGTGTTTTTGTTTTGTTTACATTGTAAATAAATGCTTGTGTATTCAAGGTTCAAGAAGTTTATGGTCGTATGCACAGAAAAAAACGGCTTTAGACCATACAACGAAAATCTTACTTTGCAGGTCTCCCGTAAAAAATAAATATGTAATTATGTCAATATCTAAATATAAACGTATTAATTAAAATAAACAAGAATATATACAGACTGCTGAATAAAGTAAGGTGCAGCAGAGATTATTTGGAAACAACAACCTTAGTGCAAAGGGTGAGGCTCTGTGCGTTGTGCTACAGAAAGTCAATAGGAGTGATGGAGAGTGGGGCAGGTAGTGTAGGATTTATTGTTCTAGACTCTGAAGCTGTTCGATAGTCTTTTCATCCTCGATTTCACACTTCTGTAGTGTCCCCCTAACGGCAAGAGTGAAGAGATGTTGTGGGCCCTCCTGATTACCCTGGTGGTGTAAATGTCCTGTAGTGATAGGAAGGCTGCTCCAGAGATGTACTGTGCAATGGGGGCCCAGAGTAATTATTATTAGTAGTAGTAATTTTGAATGAATATATTCTCCAAATAATTCTCCTTCAATCCACTATCTATTAATTGTAATTTTGTTATAGTTTTAATTTAATTAGTAACCAAAATTCCAAATTAATAGTTCAGTATATTTATTGAGCTTTAACTTTAGTCCACAGAGTTAATTTTAATAATTTTTCACATTCTCAAAATAATCCATCAAATACTTTATGTTGCAGGTGGAAAAATAATACATTTATAAAATCCATTCGCAGGTTGATTAGAGACAGACAACAGACAACAGCAGCCAGCAGAGTTGTTTATTTAATTTCAACATCATCATCATCAATATACTATATAATGACATCATCATCACAAATAATAGCCGATAATAATATAAAATAATATAGGAAATCTATGGAGTCCACTCACAGCCCTGCATAAAGAGAGCTGTGGGTAAAAAGCTACCTAGCAGCAAAGTTGCCACCCCAACTTCTACTCATCGATCATATCCTGTGATGACAAGCCAGTGTTCATCATCACCATCACTTTACTGTGTATGTCCTTCTTTGGCACAGTTGGTTGAAAGGTTTCAGTTCAGTGATGATGTCCTCCTTATCAGATGACAGTCTTACTACATTCGGGGGTCCTGTGTCCTCCACAGCAGGACCTCAGGGTCCAAACTGCATATTTACAAGAATCAGTCCAAAAGTAATAACTGAATTTTACTCTCTACAACCAGAATGACAACTGCTGTTGTGCGGTAGCAAACAGGTTTTGGAATCCTATAAAAAGATGTCTTGGTCCATATTGGTGTGGTTTTAGCACTACAGTTGAAAGTTATGACTGGATCTGTGGGAAGACAATGGGGTAGATATGGCTGTAATGATCCACAAAGTGGACCTCCAGGCCCTCTGTGATGTAGTCTGGCAGGTCAGAGAAGTCTTTCCTGTTCTCAGATGGCAGAATGATGCAGGTCACACCAGCACGACGGGCCTGACAGATAAGAAAATACAGCTATATAACATGTTTTTGCCTTTTTGGTCTAAGGATTGGAATGTCAGTTTGTGGATTCATCCAGCAAGACCCCCCCAAATACATACACAGTATTTCACAAAAGTGAGTACACCCCCACATTTTTATTGAAACCGCTGGAAAATAAAAGTGAGGACACCCCTAAGTGAAAATGTCCATATTGGGCCCAAAGTGTAAATATATATATATACAGTGGGTACGGAAAGTATTCAGACCCCTTTAAATTTTTCAGTCTTTGTTTCATTGCAGCCATTTTCCAAAAATCAAAAAAGTTCATTTTATTTCTCAGTAATGTACACTCAGCACCCCATCTTGACAGAAAAAAACAGAAATGTAGAAATTTTTGCAAATTTATTAAAAAAGAAAAACTGAAATATCACATGGTCATAAGTATTCAGACCCTTTGCTCAGGATTTAGTAGAAGCACCCTTTTGATCTAATACAGCCATGAGTCGTTTTGGGAAAGATGCAACAAGTTTTTCACATCTGGATTTGGGTATCCTCTGCCATTCCTCCTTGCAGATCCTCTCCAGTTCTGTCAGGTTGGATGGTAAACGTTGGTGGACAGCCATTTTCAGGTCTCTCCAGAGATGCTCAATTGGGTTTAAGTCAGGGCTCTGGCTGGGCCATTCAAGAACAGCCACGGAGTTGTTGTGAAGCCACTCCTTCGTTATTTTAGCGGTGTGCTTAGGGTCATTGTCTTGTTGGAAGGTAAACCTTCGGCCCAGTCTGAGGTCCAGAGCACTCTGGAAAAGGTTTTTTCGTCCAGGATATCCCTGTACTTGGCCACATTCATCTTTCCCTCGATTGCAACCAGTCGTCCTGTCCCTGCAGCTGAAAAACACCCCCACAGCATGATGCTGCCACCACCATGCTTCACTGTAGAGACTGTATTGGACAGGTGATGAGCAGTGCCTGGTTTTCTCCACACATACCGCTTAGAATTAAGGCCAAAAAGTTCTATCTTGGTCTCATCAGACCAGATCTTATTTATCACCATCTTGGAGTCCTTCAGGTTTTTTTAGCAAACTCCATGCGGGCTTTCATGTGTCTTGCACTGAGGAGAGGCTTCCGTCGGGCCACTCTGCCATAAAGCCCCGACTGGTGGATTGCTGCAGTGATGGTTGACTTACTACAACTTTCTCCCATCTCCCGACTGCATCTCTGGAGCTCAGCCACAGTGACCTTTGGGTTCTTCTTTACCTCTCTCACCAAGGCTCTTCTCACCCGATAGCTCAGTTTGGCCGGACGGCCAGCTCTAGGAAGGGTTCTGGTCGTCCCAAACGTCTTCCATTTGAGGATTATGGAGGCCACTGTGCTCTTAGGAACCTTAAGTGCAGCAGAAATGTTTTTGTAACTTTGGCCAGATCAGTGCCTTGCCACAATTCTGTCTCTGAGCTCTTCAGGCAGTTCCTTTGACCTCATGATTCTCATTTGCTCTGACATGCACTGTGAGCTGTAAGGTCTTATATAGACAGGTGTGTGGCTTTCCTAATCAAGTCCAATCAGTATAATCAAACACAGCTGGACTCAAATGAAGGTGTAGAACCATCTCAAGGATGATCAGAAGAAATAGACAGCACCTGAGTTAAATATGAGTGTCACGGCAAAGGGCCTGAATACTTATGACCATGTGATATTTCAGTTTTTCTTTTTAATAAATTTCTACATTTCTGTTTTTTTCTGTCAAGATGGGGTGCTGAGTGTACATTACTGAGAAATAAAATGAACTTTTTTGATTTTTGGAAAATGGCTGCAATGAAACAAAGAGTGAAAAATTTAAAGGGGTCTGAATACTTTCTGTACCCACTGTATATATGCGCGAGAAAGCGGCTACACTCTACCCTCCCAACTCCTGTCGTCCACCCCATTATAAATCTAACAAACACAAGTAACATGAAAAGAACATAAACAACAACCAATGAATGCCCCTAATCCATGTGTTACACGATTTTAGTACATCGGGGACCAATTTAAGTGCGACACACAACCAACAAGAATGCCAGTCTGCTGAATAGCTGCCAATGTAGCAGGTAGCCTTCCTAAATCCATCCGCATTTGGCTGGTGTTTGTTTCCATCCCTGATATAGATGCATATATACACATATATAAACGCAGGCATATACACACATATGTGTGTGTGTCTTGTACTTACAGCAATAGTTTTCTCTTTGATTCCACCTACTGGCAGTATTTTGCCGGTCAGTGACACTTCACCAGTCATGGCTACGTTCTGACGCACCGCCCGGCTAGTTGCCAGGGACAACAGTGCTGTGACAATGGTGCAGCCAGCGCTTGGTCCATCCTTAGGAGTTGCCCCCTAGAAACAAGTGACAATTATAGACAAACAGACAGGAATGTGCATTGCTGTCAGCCACGGTGTATTTTTGATACTAGCACAGAATATTTTCAAATCTATATATTTTGAAAAATGCAACACAAATAAAAAGTATTTAAAAAATATATATATATTATGCAAAGTATGGGATGCACCGAATGTCCGGCCACCGAAATTAATCGGCCAAATACAGCAAAAAAGCACTTTCAGTGTTCTGCCTAAGACTGATTAAATTTTACTGAACAATTACATTGACATGGCAGTGTGGAAGGATTTTAAAGTGTTCAAGAAAGACGCAAAATGGCCGTTTGCAGACACTGTTGACACGCTGAATTGTCTCCTAGCACATCCACCCATCTGGCTGACTTCTTAGAAAAGGCAACAAAGGGTCTGAACCACTAAGTGTTTCTGTCACTCGTTTCTGAGAAGGCGATTAAGCTAGCCGCACATATTTTGGAGTGCACACGTATTCAAGCCTTTATGGTAAATCCACTGAAATGGAAGAGTGCGAGCTGACAGGCAGGTTAGGGACTTTATCCTGTCAATTTCTCTCTTTACAAAGACAAGTGTTGCAGTATGAGAGTCCTACCTGAAGAGAGGCTGTGTTCATGAAGAAGTTCATGTTACACCATACGAGAACCACAAACAACATTATTTATCAAATTGGGTCGGACTTGATGAATTTAGCGCGAGGATACACATGTGACAACATCCGGTTTTTAAAATAAGGCGTCTATACAGGATGGAAATAAGATTCATTGGATTATATTCACAGAAAGTATAAAACACATTACATGTGTCCATTAAAAATAAATGGACACAAATGGAGAATTTACTTTACCGGACCCTCTCGGGCCTCAGACCCACCCACCATAGTCTCTCCAAATCCCGTTGGAAACACTGAGTAAAAGGCACATATTGACTATTTAATTTATGCAATGGTAAAAAAAAAAAAAAAAAAAGCAAAAATGCGAATGTACCTGTTAAAAATATTTTAATTACATTCGGCTTCAGCCAAGAATTTTCTTTTCAGTGCATCCCTAGCAAAGTAATCAGTAAGTCATTTATTTATAGTACTGTGTCGCCATGGTTACCTCAGGGACATGCAGGTGCAGGTGGGAGTTAACCAGGAAGTGATTTTCTGGTTCCTGGGTCATCAGAAAGGCTCTGGCAAAGGTCGAAGCGATCTTTGCACTTTCCTTCATAACATCACCCAGCTGACCTGCAGAGGAGTACCAACACCTTTAACATGCAGTTCAGTTCAGTGTGCTATATTGGCATGGAATTTAAACAATGTTGCCAAAGCGGTTTCCAACAAACCAAAAAAGTTTACATTTAATATGACAAGATTAATCCAATCAAAACCAATCAATTCAATTTAGCAGTTATAAATTACAAAAAAACAAAAAAATACAAATACAGATAACCTAAACTACAAATAAAAGTAAACAAGATTTAACCTGCCATGCGTCGAATGTAAAGAGCAATAGTTGTTAAGTAGTGACACAGGAACAATTACTTGGCGACAAAGTTTGCCATATGTCCTTCTCCTAGGATTATTCTTAATTTATTGTTATCTTCAAGTTCTTTAAATTCCATTATTAATGGATGGAATTTCTCAAATATTTCTCTGTAATGCTTCTATAGTTATTACATGTCTCTGTCTCCACCTCCCCTGTGGTAGAGTGCTCATAGACTCTCGGTAACCAGGACTTCTTATGCTCCCTTTTTCAACTGCAAGGATCAATGAGTCTGTACTTGTAAGAAGCTGCCTCTGCTTGATATCCAGACATTTCATAATCTCTGTTTAGGGCCAGATACCAATCTAGTTTGTGTTGGTTTTTGTCTCTTCCTCCCAATATTCCAAATAAGTACTTTTTCTTTGAGTGATCATTTGATTTACTCCAACTGGTGTTTGTAAAGCAGTGCTGGCTTGAGAAAGGTGTGTGTGACATGTGAGTGGAACCCAAATTTCACTTCCACAGAGTGAAATCGGCTTAATAACACTGTTGAATATTTTACAGGAGATTTTAATTGGGATACTAATATAGAATTTCTATTCAATTGCATAGAGAGCTCCACAAGCTATTTATTTTTGTGCATTCACTGCCGTAGAGGTGTTCCCTGAAGGCCTTGGTAGATGTAGTTCATTTTGTGATCTAGGGTGGTGTTACCTAGAGTGGCATTTTGTCGTGGCATTTGTTTTTTCTGAAAGATCTGAAATGATCTGAGTTTTGTTTTTTTTTACTGTCAGGGCCCAATTTGGCAGTATTGTTCCAGGAGGTTAAGCTGCTGCTGTAGTCCCTCTTTTGTGGGGACAGCAGCACTAGGTCATCTGCATAAAACCAAGACTAGACTACTCCATTTTGGAGTTGGAGTTGGAGTTAAAGCTGATTCTGATTCTGGAGTCCTGGCGCTATACATTGGTCCTATTACACTGCTAATTAGTTTATGTAGATGTTAAACAGTGTGGGACTCAAATTACAGCCTTGGTAAACGCCTCTCCTCTGGGAAAAAAAAAAATTCAGCTTATCACTGCTTTTGTGCATAAGGATAATTTCAAAGTATGTATTTTAATATGTATTAATACATATAGACTAAATATGTATTTAGGTGATTTCATTTTTGTTTTGAAACAAAAACAGATGTTTTTGTTTATGAATTACAAAGGAATTACGGATTATCCAATGATATCCAGACCAATAGCGTTCCTTTCACTGGTGACTTTGTGTGAGGCCACAGAAATGTTACAACGCTTTCATCAAGTTGAATTTATTACATTATAAAGTATAGTCCTCCCTCCAGCACTGCTCACTCGCTCTGTTTGGTTTCATTGCAGTGTACGCTGAGCTCCCTCTGCTGACCATAAGGTGCCTCTGCACACAAGCAGATTCAAACCCAGCCTCAAGTGTTTGGGCCACGCCCCTTATTTGCATACACTCCTCAATCCTAAATTCTCAAATGGCCACTGCTAAACTCAAATCCCACTGCTAAATGCTCAAATGGCCACTGCTAAATGCTCAAATGCCCACTCCTAAAGGCTCAAATGCCCACTGCTAAATGCTCAAATGCCCACTGCTAAAGGCTCAAATGCCCACTGCTAAAGGCTCAAATGCCTACTGCTAAATGCTCAAATGCCCACTCCTAAAGGCTCAAATGCCCACTGCTAAATGCTCAAATGCCCACTCCTAAAGGCTCAAATGCCCACTGCTAAAGGCTCAAATGCCCACTGCTAAATGCTCAAATGCCCACTGCTAAATGCTCAAATGCCCACTGCTAAATGCTCAAATGCCCACTGCTAAATGCTCAAATGCCCACTGCTAAATGCTCAAATGCCCACTGCTAAATGCTCAAATGCCCACTCCTAAAGGCTCAAATGCCCACTGCTAAATGCTCAAATGCCCACTCCTAAAGGCTCAAATGCCCACTGCTAAATGCTCAAATGCCCACTCCTAAAGGCTCAAATGCCCACTCCTAAAGGCTCAATGCCACTGCTAAATGCTCAAATGCCCACTCCTAAAGGCTCAAATGCCCACTCCTAAAGGCTCAAATGCCCACTGCTAAAAGCTCAAATGCCCACTGCTAAAAGCTCAAATGCCCACTCCTAAATGCTCAAATGCCCACTCCTAAAGGCTCAAATGCCCACTCCTAAAGGCTCAAATGCCCACTGCTAAAGGCTCAAATGCCCACTCCTAAAGGCTCAAATGCCCACTCCTAAAGGCTCAAATGCCCACTCCTAAAGGCTCAAATGCCCACTCCTAAATGCTCAAATGCCCACTCCTAAATGCTCAAATGCCCACTCCCAAAATGCCCAAATCCAATATGGCCAAATGCCCAATTCTAAATATTAATGCCCACTGCTAATTCTCAAATGCCCACTCCTAAATGCTCAAATGCCACTCCTAAATGCTCAAATGCCCAATCCAATATGGCCAAATGCCCAATCCAATATGGCCAAATGCCCAATCCAATATGGCCAAATGCCCCTGCTAAATGCTCAAATGCCCACTCCCTAAATGCTCAATGCCCATCCAATATGGCCAAATGCCCAATCCAATATGGCCAAATGCCCAATTCTAAATATTAAATGCCCATGCTAAATGCTCAAATGCCCACTGCTAAATGCTCAAATGCCCCCACTCCTAAATGCTCAAATGCCCAAAATGCTCAAATGCCCAATCCAATATGGCCAAATGCCCAATCCAATATGGCCAAATGCCCAATTCTAAATATTAAATGCCCACTGCTAAATGCTCAAATGCCCACTCCTAAATGCTCAAATGCCCATCCTAAATGCTCAAATGCCCACTCACTAAATGCTCAAATGCCCAATCCAATATGGCCAAATGCCCAATTCTAAATATTAAATGCCCACTGCTAAATTCTCAA